GGGTCCGACCCATAGCCACCTTGTATAGGGTTTCCTAGGAAAGGCTGCTGAGCTTGAACTGCTGACCTTACAGTTCAAACCAGCTTTGCAGTCCATCACATTAGCCCGCAATGCCATGCCAAGACTCCATTGTTCCTGTTTTTTTAAGTGCCATTGAGTTATTTCTGATTACTATGGTATAAATCAGTGATTCTCTATGCCTGTGTTACAACTTAAAATTAGTTGAGGAAGCTTTAAAACATACCAGTGCCGGTCCCCTCAGGACAAAGCCCCTTCCAAAACTAAGATTCAAGAGGAATACACAAGCAGACATGCGGTCTGACTGGTGACCAATAAGGGGAAGTGAGGGAAAAACAAACTTGTGAGCTAAGTTCTACCATGTTCAATAGATTCCTGTGAACCCGGTTGGAAACCTGGTTGGCCAGCAGTATGGCAAGACCTGGGGACTCCTGGGCCAGAGACAGTGACATAGCCACAGAGGACTAGAGTGGAGAGTGAAGTGTCCAGCTGATAAGAAGAGAGGACATAAACACAAGAACACCCACACTTGCAGATAATACCCACTATACCTGGCTTCAATGAATGAATGATCAGAGCTCAACTAGAAGAGGAAAAAAAGAGTAATCTGATACAATTTGATGAACTTGACCTTACACTTATGGATGCAGTAGTTCAAAAGAGGAAACAAATCTTTATAGCGAGGATCATTCCCACCCCCTGGGTACACAGGGCAGACAAGCATGGGCAACTTGGACATTGGCTACCCAAAATGGGGGGCTACAAAGGCAAGAAGTGACCAGTTTGCAAGCTTTCAACAGGGAGCCTAGATCTAGAGGGCTTGGAGGAAGGTGAAGAATTTCTACTGAATAGTATCCAATCTGTCTGGGCGGGGCTGATGAAAAGAAATGCGGATAGGTCTCTTGTGATACAATAGTAAATAATTGTTACCAAGACTGATTGTGAGGGTTGGAAATGTAAAGATAGACATATTGTAGCAAAAGGAGGGGAGTGATTGACTTTGTAGCTCAGGAGCGGAGGTCCCTGGGACCATCACTGGAAAAGAATGGAGTGCCGGAACCTACCCAGAGAAACAGTGACACCAGAGATGGAGGCAGAGACGATGATGTGGAGAGATGGAGCGTCTGGGGACTCTAGACCCAGAGAGGGAGAGGGGCAGTGTGCTGATGACCGGGCGGGGGGAGACTAGCAGGGTATACCTTTTGGTTTGTTGATGATGCATGGCAGGGATTGTAACCACGGCAGTGAAATGATGTACGATAGGATGAATGTAAAACTAATGTTCTCCCATATAAATCATCACATAATTCACAATAAGGCATTTAAAAAAAAAAGCCAATACCTTAGCCACATCTCTATACATTCTGATTTAATCTGAGTAGACTTCAAAACATTCATGAAAAAATGGAATTAAAAGAATTTTTCACTAACCTTTTGATGCCCCCTCGTATGTCTCAGATGGGATGCGTGTATAGGTATATACAAGGTTTCTAGGTGATTTTAATATGTAGCCAGGTTAAGAACCCTTAAAACTTTAGTGCTTGGGCAGCCTTATAGTGGTGCTCATGACTAATAACCCACCATTAGCTACAGTTGTTCAATTTTAGGACTAGCTTTTAAATCTAAAATAGGATATCTGCTTCACCTCCCTACTTTGAAATTCCATCTGGGTTTAGTGGGGAAAGACATTGGACTCAAAGAACTTACATCAAGTTAAATATCCTTCAGTGTAGCAGTAGCTTGACATCAGAGTTTTCTGTATCTTCATATCTTTATATAATAACTAAGTATACTCAGTTCATCGTATTAGTCATGGTATGGCTTATAAAAGTTACATTCGTTTTGCAATTTTAATACATCATTTCCACAATACTGTTATCATGTTCAATGCCATATTGTTTTAAAAATTGCTTGTGTCACCATTCTTAGGGCCCCTGAGACACAATAGACAGATGATACTACTTCCTTTTTTTTTTTTACAAATAAACTAAAGCTCAGCCATATTTTAAGTAACTTGCTGAAGATCATAGCATAGTTTAGCTAAGAACTTGAATTCTGGTTTCCACTCTAATAGTATTTATTGCTTACTTGAATGAGTGTTTAAGTATTAGGCAAAAATAGGTATTATTCATGTAGGATTTACAACATTAAATCAAGACTAATACACCTGACTTTTAAATACTAACTATAAGATTTTTACTACCCAGAACCTTACATTTTTAGCTATGAAATTAGCAGGCCGGATAGAAATGTAGCTGTCCTGGGTTGAGTCATATATTTCTTCTCACAGGGAGCTTATTTGCCTCAGGATATTTCTATTCAAGATCTTAAGTAGGTGTTTTTCCCTGGTTAAATATTCTAATTCCCTGAAAATCCTCATTCCATACTTTGGGAAATTGACTGTTGTTATGGAGTCCTCTGATGACTTTAATCAGCTAAATAAGTAGAATTAAACTTTTTTAAAAAAGGATTTAGGTAGCTTTCTATATAACAAAATATTTTCTAGTACAACAGTTCTTAATTTTAAAAGATTTTTGATTCTTTGAATATGTACACTTTTATTTTTATTTTAAATTGGAGTAAATAAGAGTCTTAAAATTCCCTTTCAAAAGATTGAAAGTCACAAATTTGGTACTCTGCCTGTGTTGTCTAGTACAAGTGAGTTACTAGCCTAGCAGGAACTGAGGGGCAGTCTCATCTTATAAGCAACCTCTGGAATCTTATTATAGAATATAGATTTCCCCGGCTGGCCAAAAGTAGAGAGTTCATATGTTGAAACCTTTTGTAAACAGAAATGGTGTAAATCAAAGAAGTATTTACCATTAATTTATGTGGGGAAATATTTTGAGCATTTCCAGATCCAAAAAGTTTTGTACCAAATCATACCACATAAATAGCACATAAAACCTAAAATCATACTGTTCTTAATTGATGTTGTAGCGATCCTGCATTGAGTTTCTGAGGAGCAGCTGGGTTTAGACCACCAATCTTCACCAATCTTGCAGTTATCTGTCCAGTGCTTATCCTGCAGCACCATACCAGGATTCAAGCAAGTAACACTAACATAGATTCAAAGCAAAGGATAAGCACAGTGGGCTACTAACCACAAAATCCACAGTTCAAACCCATCCAATTGCTCCTCAGAAACCCTGTATAGGTTTGCTGTGAGTCAGAACAGATGTGACGACACTTAACAACAGCAGCATGGTAAAAGCAGGAATGAAATGATGCATGGCCTATATATAATGTAGAACTAATATATGTGCATTGCCATTTCACTTACCAGGGGTGGGAACAGTGAACACATTGGAAGGCTGAGAAGTGGTGGTGATGGTACCCCAGTAGCCTAGCTGGCAGTGGCAATGGGGAACTTTTGGAAAACAGGGAATACCTATTCATAGATTTTTTTTTTTTAGGTTTTTAAGGAAATTGGGTACTTCGTAATTCTGATAATGGTACAACAGTAGTAGGGAAAGGAACCTTTTATGTTTAGGGTTTTCTTTCTGATTAAAAAGCGCTTTCTTAAATGAAAGTGGAAAAACCTCTTTTCTATAATTGGCAGCTTTTTGCTGCCTAATAATAAGACGAGAACACATTAGCTTGTGATTGTAGTTGGCATTTTATTTCCATAGAAAGTTGGTCTCTAGTGCATTGCAGCCATTGATCTGACTCAAGTTTTTTGTGCTTCCCTGTTATATTTTCTGGAAACATTAATCATTAGAGTGTTTCTTTCTAATCTTTTTGCTACTTATTTAACTCTTAAAATTGAGTTTTATAATACAAGCTAGTAGAAAGAAGATTATTGCAGTCCAATATTTCATAAACCAAAGTATGCTAAAAATCTTAATTCATACATTTATGAAAAAATAAATCATTCAAAAATTATTCAGATTATTTAAAAATACCTTTACAAGTGTCAACATGTAGATTATAAAAGCAAATATTTAAATATTTCAGTTTCATTTGTTAGTAAAGTTTTTAAAAACTGAAAAAAAGCTGTAATTTCAGTAAATGCTGTCTTTTTTTTTTTTTTTAAAGGTACCAGTACTTTTTGCAAATCAAACAAGATATTCTTACTGGAAGGTGGGCTATTTTAAATGTTTTATTATAAAGTATTTAAGTACTCTTATTTCTGAATTATTTAGATAATTCATCTGTAACCAAATTATGTATCAAAAAATGATTATGTGTAGCATAGATGTCATCATATAAGTTCATTACTTGATAGTTAAAATGTAAATCATATAGCAACTTCAGGTGTTAATAATGTAATATGAATTACACTGCTTTAGTAATTATTATATTTGACCTTGATTTTGTATTTGTTTGGTCTTACCAGGTTGCCATGTCCTTGTAACACTGCTGCTCTTTTGGCTTCATTTGCTATTCAGTGTAAGTATAAGTCCACTTTTTTGTCACATAACATGTGATTATGTGGTCTGTGTTAAAAATATGCTTCCTTTAACACTTTGGCTCTTTAGACATATGTTGTTGTTGTTGTTGTTGTTGTTAGTTGCCGTCAAGTTGATTCTGACATAAGTGTACAGAGTTGAAATTACACTATAAAATTTTCAAGATTGTGATCTTTTAGAAGCAGATCATAGGTTTGTCTTCTGAGATGCCCCTGGGTTGGTTCAGATTACCGGACTTTTGGCTAGAAGTCAAGGGGCTTAACTGTTTGCACCACGCGGGGATGTATGTTCCTATACAGACAATAGTGACTGCAGAGGAAGTGTAATGAAATGCCCAACTAACTAATAATTATTTTATTTCCTGGGATGGAGGGGGGTGTTTTCTGAGATTGAGCACTAGAAGAATGCTTAAATATTGCAACTTGCTTACGTGGTACCATTAGAAACAAGTATTTTACTTCCAGGTACAGATGGAATTGATGGCAGACATGCTGATTTAGCTGTAATAATTGAAAAAGGTATTTGGTAAAGTATTAACATATTTTTCTCCCATTTATTAGCTGAAATTGGAGATTATAATCAGTCAGAGAATTTGCCAGGCTACCTCTCAGATTATTCTTTCATTCCTAATCAACCTCAAGATTTTGAAAAAGAAATTGCAAAATTACATCAGCAACATACGTAAGAATTTATTTACTTTTCTGCTTATCTGGTAAACTTAACTGAATCATTTGTAGAGAAATGTTTTAAACTATTTCTAATTTGATTGTTTACTTAATATAGAATTGTTGGTGTTAAGTGCTGTCCAGCTGGTTCTGACTCGTAGCAACCCTGTATTAGGGTTTCCGAGGAGCTGCTGATAGTTACTGTTACATAGTGCTGTGATTACTATAAAGAAATGTAGGTGATCTATACCAAAAACAGACTGCTTATTTCACATATAAGGCTTCTTTTCATTTCTGCTAAGAACCATGCAGTTGTATGTAAACAGAAATTTATTTGCTATGATATAAATTTGTCAGTTCTTAAAAAGGAATTTTAGAATATTACTAATATATTCACAATGTACAGATCAATCTTCTGAGCAGTGTTTCTCAGTTTTTAGCTATATGGAAGGAGTTAGTTCTGTTTAATAAAGAGCCAAAAGGAGAAAAGAGCTTTATATAATGATAAATTAATTTAAAAATATTTCTTGATAAACAGCATTTTTTCAACAACTAGTAGTAGCGTAGTGGTTACGAATCGGGCTGTGAACCTTGAGGTCAGCGGTTCGAAACTACCAGCCACTCCGCGGGAGAAAGATGAGGCTTTCTACTCCCTTAAAGATTTACACCCTCAGAAACCCTATACAGGGTCGCTATGGGTCGGAACCGACTGGACGGCACTTAACAACAACAACAACAACATGTACAACTTAACAAACTAACAAAATTTTGTGTGACAATTTTATTCTAGAAGAGATGTATTGAAATAAAGATACTTTAAATAGAAAGTAATACTGTGTATTGATTCATAATTGACTTTTTAATACACAATTCAAAATACTCATGAATGAACTAAGGCAGTGTTGTATGTTGTTTAAGAGTCTAGAACTCAAGAGCACAACTTCCTGGTTTGAAATTTACCTGGTGAAATTCATTAGCATCTTACATGTATCTTTAAGGAGCTTTGGTATTATAGTGGTTACGAATTGGGCTGCGAACCTCAAGCTTAACAGTTTGAAACTACCACCTGTTCTGAGGGAGAAAGATGATATGTTCTGCTCCCATAAAGATTTAAAGCCTCGGAAACCCTGTACAGGGTCGCTATGAGTCAGAACCGACTCCACGGCACACAGCCACCACCGCCACCACCACCACCACCATATATCCTTGGCTAAATTGCCCTGTGTCTTCCTCTCTTGTCTTACCTGTCAATTGGGGATACAAGTATCTATTATTTGTTATTAAGTTATTATAAGGATTAAATGAGTTTATGTATACAAAGTGTCCAGAATAATGCCTGGTACATGATGAGCACTGAAGAAATATTAGCTCTTATTATTAAGAAAACTTCTTTTTTGGTATAGTCTGTGAGCTAAGCATGTTGTGTACATTTTATGTGAATGAAAAAGTACCAAAATAAAAATATTTCAAAGCATGTAAAGACTTTACAGATTTCCCATTTGAGTGTCTATACACACTCTTATTGGAACACACCCTCATGTTGTCTCAGCTATTTCCATTCTACAGTAACAGACCTGAGCAGTTGAAGCAGAGAACACGGGACCTGAAAGCACAAAATATGTAACCTTACTGTCTTTCACAGGAAAAGCTTAATGACCCTGATTAAAAAACAACCTGATAAAATGAGAATTTTAACAGATTGGCCTAATAAAAGGAAGAGGCTATTTTGGTCTAAAAATAAATCCCATTAATAATAAGATTTTACGGATACCATGCCTGAATACAAGAGTTTTAAAGATAACCACATTTTTTTTTAAATTAACAAAATAACGTTTATTCTGTAAGAGAACACTTTAACAAGATACTGATTGTACAAGGGGACTTCAAAAAGTTCCTGAAAAAAATGAATTAAAAGAAAAATTTCCATAATCTTTTAAAGCCCCCTCATCTGTTTCTGTTTCATTTAAATAAATGATTCATCAAATCTTTGAGCAAATTAAAAATAGACTCATTCAGCTTAACTTTTGGGGGAATATTTATTTAATTTTATAGAAAACTGAAGTCTGTCTGCTTCTCTTGATGAGTTAAATTCTAGTATCATTAGTGACTGGACAGCTGATATTTTGACTTTGGTAATTTGCTAGTTTGCTTTGCTGTAGTCTGATAAGCTCGGATATCCAAGATTCTTACAATTATATAGGAAATAAGAATGCATTTATCTAGTTTTAAAGGTTTTATATTTAGAGCAGTGGTTCTCAAACTTCTGTTCATAAGAATCATCCAGGATACATGCTAAACAATTTGGCCTTTATCTGAAACATTCTATATCAGATTCTGTAGTCTATGATGCAAACCAGTTTTTTTTTCCTTCCATTCTATCAGGAATAATACAGTGTTTTTGAAAAATACAACAAAAATTAATTACTATAAAGATAAAATTTAGAAATAAGCAAAAACAATTTTTTTTTTTTTTTTTACTTGTTTGTTTCAAGAGACAATATTAATCTGTCAAATTGCTATAAAAGTTTCTGGTATCAGTTTCTACACTGGTTATGACTCAGAAGTTGTTTGTGCTTTGAGAAGCACTCCCTCTGGAGGTTAGCTCAGAGTCTACATTTTGAAAAGCATACTGTGATCTATATGCAGCTAAGCCCTGGACTGCAAAGCATATGGTTTGCAGGTCGAGCCCACCAATGCTCCTTGGGAGAAAGATGAAGCTTTCTGCTCCTGCAAAGATTTAAAAGTCTCAGAAACCATATCTAGGGTCGCTATGAGTTAGAACCCACTTGACAGCATTTAACAGTAACATCATCATATGGATGTTTGAGAAACATCAAAGTTTGAGAAACACGTTTTTTTGTCCAAAAGTGAGTGACTTTATAATTATACGTAAGAACACCTCAGGACATTTGAAACTTGATGTATTCTTATATTTTTTTTAATGATTCGGATTACTCCTGATATGTTAGATGTTATTATGCAGAATTAAGATACTCATGAATGGTATTTTGTAAAAGATTTAATTAGAACACATTAAAATTTTCCAGATAAATAGCGTGTTTCTAGTTTGACCGTAATTGTAATTTATCTAATTTGTAATCTAATGATGTTTTTATAGAGGCTTATCTCCTGCAGAAGCAGAATTTAATTATCTGAACACAGCACGTACCTTAGAACTCTATGGAGTTGAATTCCACTATGCAAGGGTAAGTGAAGAATACTTACTCTGATGTTATTCAGTTAGGTTGTATTTTTTACTAATTATTTTTTAAAATACATTGATGTAATTAAGAAACAATTAGAATAACTTGTGAGTGCTGCTGACATAGTATCACTGAAAATATCCTGTAAGTGTTTTCACAGAAATTGATGATTTAATATCTGATGAGATGGGTGCATTATTCATGTTAGTTTTCTTAAAGGTGGTATTTTATATTGTAATTTTTGCAGCTGCAAGAGTTAATACTTCATGATTTTATTGTACAAAATAGAGGTTACGTTACAGGAAAGGAAGTTCTTACATATTTAACTGTTACAATCATCATGATCATAAAAAGGTGCTTTCACCTTATTGAGGCTCATATTATTTCACTTACTTGAATTTCATTATTTAATAGTGTCATTTAACATTTTTATTTTAAAAGCACAAAGTGAATCATATTGACATGTTTTGCCCGTATCTGCTTGTCCCGTTATTAAAATGAAATGTATAATCACTGTCTTTACCTTTACAATGCTCTGTAACAACTTTTTCCTTGTGTCAAACTTTGCTGCCTTCAAAAGACTGTTGTTATCTTCTTGCCATAAGCAAGTTTGTGAGTAGTCATCTTTATATGTGTCTCTTAACTTAGATTCTTCCCATTATTTCCCTTTTTTCCTCTCCACTTTATGTTCATGGTGAATATTATACAACAAAACATTTGCCAGCTCAACAATTTCTACATGCATACATGCATAACTAAGTGACATTGACTGTGTTCTTCTTGGTGTGCAGCCATTCTCATTGTCCATTTCCAAATTATCCCATCACCATTAGTATGAGCATAACATCAGCATGAACTCAGTGCTCCCTTAGAAATATTTTTTTCATTCTTTCTCCCATCCTTCTTGTTGTTAACTGCCGTCAAGTCGGTTCCATCTCATAGAGACTCTGTACAGGGTTTCCAAGGAACAACTGGTGGATGTGTAGTAACCACTAAAAACCTTCCATTTCTGTATTTTTGCTTATTTCATGTAAATGAAAGCATATGGTATTTATCCTTTAGTGACTGGCTCATTTCATTTAGCATATGTTTTCAAAATTTATCAACATTGTAGCATGTATCAGGACTTCATTTCTTTATAGGGTTTAATAATATTCCATTGTACTGTACCATATTTTGTTTAGCCTTTCATCTGCTACTAGACATTTTGGTTGTTTCTACCTTTTTGCTGTTGTGAATAGTGCCACGGTGAACATTGATGCACAGTCATGATTTCTTCAAGAAGTTATATTCACTTAAGAGTTCCCTGGTGTATAGCTGTTCTTCATGACCCTCCCTCTCTTTTGGGACCAACTAGTTTTGAATAGGATTATCTAAATTGTAATATTGTAGTTAGTATTTATATAAATAAGGTTTTATTTTTTTATTACACAATTTAAAACTAATAGAACTTTGTTGTAGATTATGTGCCACCAAGTCAGATACAACTCATAGTGACCCTGTATAGGGTTTTCAAAGCTGTGAATCTTTATGCAAGCCAAAAGTCTCATCTTTCTCATAAGTAGTGACTGGTAGATTTGAACTACTGACCTTGTGGTTAGCAGCCCAGCTCATAATCTACTATGCTTCCAGGGCTCCATAGTAGAACTTTAAAAGTATGAATTTAATATGGTCAAATTACAGTCCTTAGAAGTTTTCTTACTGTAGTTTAGCATCTGCAGAGACTATTATCAATGAAATACGAATAGACTTTTCTTTATTTCATTTAAATAACTTGAGTAGATTTCATACATAATTGAACACATTATTTATTGGTTTTATTGAGGTTTATTTTGTTTGTTTAAATTACCAGATTATAAAACTTTCTGAGAAGACCCTAAATATTATGTACTAGATCAAAGAAGTTCATATTTGAAATGGTTAACATTGTTTAATAATGTACAAGCAGACTCTAAAAGTTAATGGAAATTCCATTATCTTCAATTCCATTTTTCCTTGAACTTTTTCAAGCCCCTTTTCCCCGCACCACTTCTCTTCCCCTCAATAAAAGGAGTGCCTTGATCTAAGTTCTCTACAGGAGCAAAAATAGCGAAGCATACATACAGTGAAGCTTCAGAAAGTTTGTGTGAAATGGGATTTTTCCATGAGGTTTGTAAAGCTTCCCCTTATAAATACAGAGAAAAATGTACATCAAAGAAATGGTCCATAAAATTGTAATGAAATGGCTCACACAATTGGGGCTCTGATAAGTCTTTGGGTCAAGCAATAGACTGAAGACCTCTGCTGCCCAAAATCTGAAGGTTGGGGCAGGCTGGAGGGGCCTGCACTGCCTCACAGGGTTGCCAGGATTGACAGATCCAAACCTTGCAGGTTAGCAGCAGGCCCGAGACCTCTGCAGACTGACATCTGAATAATTGGAGGTCATGAGACCAGGAGAGTAGAGGAGTGCAGGGGATTGAGAAATAGAGTAAGCTCTGCCAGACATCCATTGATACAGCAAGCAGGCCATACCCTCAAGGAAACTTCCCTTTTCAACTGATTGGCCAGTTTCATCAGATCATAAAAAGGAAAAAAATTACGTAGTGTCTATCAAACCACAGAATCATAGCCTAGTCTAGTTGATATGTAACATTAACCATTATAATCCACCCCTTGTCAACTTGTCACCTGTGTGAATCTCCTTAAACCAACCATACATAATCTCTAAATACAATTGTGAAGGTTATGGTGACTTTTTAAATTAAAAAATAGTAATCCTGATAGATTTTGTCAAAGGATACAAGGTGAGTGATCGGGTGGATTAATATGAAGAAGTGTTAAAATTGAAAAATATTTTTTGTATCACAATATGCCTATTTATACTTCAAGTTAGCAAGAGCTGCACTTCAATATTTCCTTGGGAAACCTTGCAGTCCTGGTCTTTCCCCTTCAAGACTGCAAAACTCAAAGAACATTTGAAAGGAACATGATTTGAGTCTCTTAAAGTTGCCCAAACTGTTATTTTGACATGGTAAAAATCAAAGAACATAGAATCTTCATAGTAGGGTTCTTGATGTTGTTGTTAGAGGCCATCAAGTAATTTCCAACTTATAGCAACTCTGTGCACAGCAGAACAAGGTGCCCAGTCCTGCACCTTCCTCACAATTGCTGCTCCCACTGTGTTAGTCTATCTCAGAGAAAGGTTGTTGTTGTTGTTATGTGCCTTGGAGTCAGTTCCAACTCATATCAACCCTGTACAGAATTTCCAAGGCTGTAAATCTTTACAGGAGCAGAAAGCCTCATCTTTCTCCCACGGAACAGCTGGTAGTTTTGAACTGCTGACCTTGTGGCTCGTAGCCCGATTTGTAACCACTATGCTACCAGAGCTCCTTAGAGAAAGGTTAGGGAAATGGAAACAGTACCTGCACATTGTGATATTTTTGTTAGGTAAAGACTTCTGTGATTTTAACACACAGACATTTATAATAAAACAAGGAAGAAATACTCACAAAAATTACAGTCTTAGTTTCTGAAACTGGTCACATGCTTGTAGCTGGTATTTAGAATTACCTTTTTCATGAACTAAAGGAGCCTAGTGATGCAGTAGTTAAACGCTAGGCTGTTAAACAAAATGTCAGCAGTTTACATCTAAGTTGCAACTCTTGGTTTCTCTCTGTCCAGAAGGAAAAAGAGTGCTGGAAATTGAAGGCAACTAGAAACAATTAGTCCAGCAGACTAATGGACCATGTGAACATCTGTTTCCACGAGACCAGAAGCATTAGATAGTGGCCAGCTACCACTGCAACTGCTCTGAACGGGAAGACCTTCATAGTAAAAGGTCTTTGGTAGAATGGAAGAAAATGTGGAATAAAACTTAAAAATTATTAAAAAGACAAGTCTTACTGGTCATTTAGAGACTGGTGGAACCCTGCAACTATGGCCCTTGGTTACCCTTCAGGTCTGGAACTAAACTCACCGTGTGACTCAGTTTTCAGCCAACCAAAGATAATTTTGTAGCAGGAACAACACTAGTGAGGTATGCACAACAGAATGGTCAGCAATTTCAGGTCAAAGGGGCAGCATTTACCCTAGGATAAAGTTCAGAAGAGTTGGAAAAGGAGGAGGAACAGAAACAAGAAAGATAGAAGGGAGTGGTATAAGTGATGGTACATTGAGAGGATTACAACCCATGAGACAGCATTTACCCTAGGATAAAGTTCAGAAGAGTTGGAAAAGGAGGAGGAACAGAAACAAGAAAGATAGAAGGAAGTGGTATAAGTGATGGTACATTGAGAGGATTACAACCCATGAGATGAAACGACATGTTAATAATCTGTCGGATGTAAAACTGATGATCTGCTCCATAAACCTTCACCCAGTTCACAAAAAAATGTTTAAAAAAAAAAAAAAAAATCAGTATTAGTTGCTTTATGAGAAGAAAGGTACCAGTCTGCTTTGTAAAGATTGTTTTTAAGTGCCATCGAGTCAGTTCCCTGTATAGGGTTTCCAAGGAATGGCTGATGAGTTTGAACCGCCAACCTTGAGGTTCAAACCGACCTTGCAGTCCAGTGCATTATCCTGTAGCGCCACACCAGGATTCCTTGTAAAGATTTGTTGTTGTTGTTGTTGTTGTTAAGTGCCGTCGAGTTGGTTCTGTCCCATAGCGACCCTGTACAGGGTTTCTGAGGCTGTAAATCTTTACAGGAGCAGAAAGCCTCATGGTAAATTCTATGGGGCTGTTTTATTATGTCTTATACAGTTGCTGTGTTGGCTGTGGGTTTGATTTCTTCCAGCCCTTTTGTATTCCTTTAGCCCTCAGCAAGAATCTCAGCTGGTTGTGACTCTTTGTCTGTCGGAGTGACCCAAACCTTCATCTTTGAAGGGCCTAGGTAATTAGTAGTCATAGTGGAACTGGGTAGCTTTAATTTTTCATTCCATTGACTTTAGTCACAGGGCATGAAAGAACTAAGAGATACACCCTAAGGGATCTCCTGTGTTCCAGACATACTCATTTTCTTTATTTT